AGAAAGTGTTGGATCACAGCGGGTCGCACGCTGGATGTCAGAGCATGTGACTGGTAATTGCGGTCATTCTTGGGACTAGTCAATTATTACCACAAGTTCCTTCCAAATCTTTCGACTGTATTGCATCCTTTAAACAGTTTGTTGCGCAGTGGAACAACATGGTTGTGGACTAAAGACTGTGAGCGTGCGTACAAAGAGGCAAAATCTCTGGTAACATCTGACAATGTGCTAACTCATTATGACCCCAGCTTGCCACTCCAGCTTGCATGTGATGCCTCTCCTTATGGTATTGGTGCCATATTGTCACATAAGTTCACAGATGGAACGGAACGGCCAATTGCCTTTGCCTCAAGATCCCTAACTCCAGCAGAGCGTAATTATGCACAAATTGATAGAGAAGCCCTTAGTTTGGTCTGGGGAGTTAAGAAGTTTAACCAATATTTATATGGAAGACATTTTACCTTGCTGACTGATCATCGACCATTATTATCCATCTTTAATCCATGTAAAGGTGTTCCAGGTATGGCTGCTGCACGACTTCAACGATGGGCATTATTTCTTGGGGCCTATACTTACACTATTGCATTCAAAGGTACAGAGCATCATGGCAATGCGGATGGACTGTCGCGGCTTCCATTTTCCATTGGAGTTATCACACCCCAGGGATCTAGCAGAACCAGTAGACATGTTCCATTTGGCTCAGGTGGACTCATTACCAGTCACATGCTCTGACATCCAGCGAGCGACCCGCTGTGATCCAACACTTTCTAATGTTTATGAACTGACAGTTAAAGGCTGGCCATCCAAGAGCGATGCAGCTTTATCGGCCTACTCATCTCGCCGTGATCAACTGTCTGTAAGGTAAGGTTGCATTTTGTGGGGCAATTGCACCATCACTTCGCACCAAGGTCCTGAAGGTGCTACATGAAGGGCACTTGGGGGTGGTAAAGATGAAGAACTTGGCTCGCAGCTATGTTTGGTGGCCTGGCTTTGATCACCAGCTGGAAGAACTCACAAAGACATGTGATGGGTGCCAACAGACTCAAAGGTCACCAGTGTCTGCACCACTTCACCCCTGGGAATGGCCCACCACAACATGGCAGCGCATACACATTGATTATGCAGGCCCATTCTTTGATAAGATGTTTCTTATTATTGTGGATGCTCACTCTAAGTGGCCAGAGGTTTTCTGTACCACTAAAGCAACTGCCACAAAGACTGTGGAATTCCTACGTAACTTGTTCTCGCGTACAGGAGTACCAGAACAAATAGTAAGTGATAATGGTAGCCAGTTCTTATCTGACGAGTTCAAAACCTTCCTCAGGAAAAATGTAATACAGCACATTACCACAGCACATACCACCCTGCAACGAATGGTCTTGCTGAGCGTTTTGTACAGTCCTTCTAACAGTCCATTAAGGCGATGTCATCTGAAGGAATATCACTACAGCACAAAGTGTCCAAGTTTTTACTGGCTTATCGTAACAGCACCCATTCGACTACCGGACAATCACCTGCAATGCTTTTTCTAGGCCGCCCCCTGAGGTCTCGCCTGGACTTGATGAAGCCTGACCTACGTCGGCATGTACAACGGAAGCAGGCCACCTGGAATCAGAGTCACAAGTCACAAACCCTGCGTACCTTTCGTGTGGGTCAGAGAGTTTTGGCTCGCGACTATCGTAACAATGCCCGGTCATGGCAGCAAGGAGTCATTGCCTCACAGACAGGACCGTTGACTTATACTGTAGACATTGGGGATGATGTTGTCTGGCGTCGACATACAGATCAGTTGTTAGACACTACTCCTTCTGACGTCCGCCAACAGGCAGAAATTGCTCAGCCAACTTCATTGCAGGACATGGCTGTACCAGAGTGTGATGGTCAGGAATCCACAATCATCATAGACAATCAGGAGACAACTCCACCTGAGAGCCAGGAACCAGTTGGTAGTTCTAGTCCAACATGCACTAGACGTTACCCTAGCAGGGTTAGGAAACCTCCTAAAAGATTTGAATGTTAAATTTTATGTGTTGTTATAGAAAGTAAAAAAAATAAAAATAAAAAAAATTTTAGGATATATATATATATATATCTATTTTCTTTTTGATATAGCTTCAGCTTATGCCAGCTATAAGATTCTAACGGGTCTGGATGCTGTTCAGCCAATTGACTATTTCAATATTAATCTTAATACTAGAACTCGTGGCCATAAGTGGAAATTAGCGGGAGAACATTT